AATCGTCACAGAGTTACAGACGGTACAAACACAAAGCACCTTTTTTGTTTGTGGGATCAATGCAGAGTTTGCTATGAGGGAGGAATTACTGTTTTTGCAAGCTATGCTTGACTCTACCAAAGATGGGGATTTATTTGAGCAAGTTGTTTTGGTTAAAACCAGCTGTGAGTAGTGTCGTCATCATCATCATCAATACGATCGGACAGCAGACGCCTCACGAAAGTGAAGCAGTTCCACTCATCGCATTAGAGAGTGTGATATGTGAATGGCAGTTAAAGCTCCAGTGTGTAAGATTCAGGTGGAACTATTGGCAGAAATGTAATGTAGAATAATCCTCATGATGTTTTCACTAGTTCATTTCATTTAAATTGTATGAATTGTAGTTTTCTTTACCCCAGAAAAGACCCTTTATATTCAAATACTTTATATTTACATCGAGGGGACCCTCTCTGGGTGTTTTTTTCATTAGTCCAGACTGAACAAACTAAACACCTTTTGAGTTTTTGTGACAACTGAAGCTTCCACAGGTTCTATTTCACTTCTGGAAGGGGAGGGTGAGGTGAGGGGTGTTCAGCTGCAACATGTAATTTCAAATTCTACACACTGTACCTTTAAAGGATGAAACAGGCAATCATAGGAAACAGACTTCCGTCCCCTGGTGCAATGGAAATTTTATTATCATCAAAAAAAATAGGAGATTCAGTCTAAGTGATTTGTTTCGACTTGGATATATGCAGTTAATCATCAAACCAATGAAAGAGGATTTCACACAAGCTTACGTGCAGAGTTTATTCAATATCCTGGCTCCCTCACACTGATCTCCTATTGTCTTATCAGGCCGAGTCAGGGGCAGCAATAGTAAGGGGCAGAGGCTGATCCTTCCTCTCCCAGACTTTCCTCTTAAAGGGATAGTTCACCCAAAAATTTAAAATCACTCATTGTCTTCTGCTGTACTTCTCCTGTGGTGTTCTCCGACATTCAAATTCGACTACATGTCTGCTTTTATGCTCCTCCAGAGCACATGGATCACAGCGGGGCTTACAAAGACTTAGATAACACCACACGAGCAGTATGGAGGCGTATTCTGTTTTCTTTTTTATTAAAGAAGCAGTCATGATTGACTTTAATTATGCTGCAACGCTATTTACCCCTAAAACTCCAGAAGTGTTTTGTGGACTCAAACACTTCACCCACCCCTCCATTGGAATAGTGATGAGTAGATAATGAGTGAATTTAATTTTTTAGGTGAACCATCCCTTTAAAAAGACTGCAGTTCACAGTCGAACTGATATGTATGATCTGAACTTTGTAGGTTGACCAGCTACAATCACAAACCCACACGTGTCAACACATGGACCATGAGGCCTTGATTGTCAGTTTTTACTGAATGAAATGAAAAACAGTTTGTGTTCAACATGAGAACATTTATCACCCAAAACCATCCTGACTGGAATCTGTGATGTCATGGACTACATTTTCCTTAGTGAGGGAAAAACCCAGGAAATGACCAGGAAATAACACACTTTCAGGTTCCCATAGCACACACATTATTGCCCTTGTTTGTTTTACAGGTTTAAATTTGTCATCTCTGATATTAAAAACTATAATATGGTTCAAATAAATGGTTTTATTAAGACAGCTGATGTAAGAAGGAATAAAGTGACCCTCAAACATTCATGAGATATTACTTCATGGTCTGGCCACTAGAGTCCTGTTATATCAGTCCTCTCATTACGGACCACAATAACAAGCACCCGCCCATGAGCATGATGTTAATACAGTGATGCTACAGCTCTTTTACATTGTTCCTGCCATGATGTGTTTCAGCTGTTATCAGAAGCTTAAAGTTGGTTGATCACTGAGCATGACTTTCGTCAAAAAGTAACAATGAGGTGGAAGTTCTATATTCCACATCGGTTTCCTGCACGCTGTCTGTGGAGCAGATTTGCCCAAAACTGTCACATCTGCTATTGTTTAGTGTTCAGCGAATGACTGTTTGAACAAAAGGTTGCAGTGGAATGTGCATTCATATCAGCATTACATTTGATTTGTTGTGCAACTTTCATTTGGTACACTCAATGAAGAAAGTCATTTTGGTTGAATAGGCTTAATTCTTTAGGTCACATGAGTAATCAGGAGCAGAAATCAATGCAGCAGAATAACAATACATTTCTCATAACTCAGCTGGATAGCATCTTTAGTACCTTCTCCACTGGAATTAAAACCCACTAACGTCTGTAACAGACATTTGCAATTTAAATGTATGCAATCAGCCTTCACTCCATTCAATCTATTTGACTTTGTCGGCTCATGCTCCATTCGAAACATGACTTCTGAGCGAACGCGTTCATTTTTAATGTTAATTTGTGTGTGTTCATTTTTTCTTCTCTTCCCCTCAGTATTTTGGCAGATGCAGATGCAGTCTAGATGCTCACACTGCACCTTTTCTTCGCACAGTATGATTGGGAATCGACTTACAGGCATTGGTGCGTAAATAGCCATGAACGTTTGTGTACTTGTTTTTTTAAGACCTAAATGCTCCTAAATGCCCACCTCTGTCCTAACTTGTTTTGCTTCTGGTCTGGGACACAGAATTTCTGTTAAAAATTGTCCAGGCGGGACTGAGATAACACCTGGCGACATCACCGTGACTGTTTGTTTAAACCTGTCTTTATTGACCACACACCGAGATTTTACTGAAGCTTTTACAGAAAATGTTGACAGTATCGTGTTCCAAAGTAAATGAGAAAAAAAAATGTTGCAGACTTCCCATCAAACCCTCAATAATTAGCATTAGGGGTTACTCCACATTTTGTTTCGTAACGAGTGACAGGAATCATTGAGGGGTTTCAGATGTGTTTTCAGCCCCTCTGCCAGCCCAACTGTCTCTGCCTCCCTGTGATCCAACTGCCGCATGAGGAAAGTGGAGTAAGACTGCAAATACCAGGAATCTGCTTATTATCAGTCAGATAATTGTTTTCAGATTAAGAAAAACGCCTCCACAGCTGAACATGTGACCTGCTGCAGAGCTGCTGCATCTTTTATTTGGACTAAAGTCCCATTAAACAGGAGAAATGAATCCGAGTTTAATGTTTAATCAGGTGCTTGGTAAATGACTGTCAAGGTTTCAAGTTGACCCCAAAAAGTAAGTTTCATCAGCTTCATGAAAAGCAAATAGTTGTTGCAATAAAGGTTAGATAAGAATTTAAACAAGAAAAGAATGTTATGATATAAACTATAACGTATGTTAACACTTTAAACCCATTATTGAGCACAAAGACACAGAAGAACCAGAACAACATCTACCACTAATTGCACAAACATCTTTCTGAAATAGTTTCTCTTGCATATTAAACTTCAGAAATATTCAACGTACAATGTATGAAAACACAACACTTTTCAACACAATTCATTAAATCATTCGAAAAAGCTGCCACCAGCATTAACACAGGTCACGGGCACTGAAATAATTATTAGTTGATTGAAAGAAAATGAATGAAGTCTGCTGATAGTTTCAGTCTCAGCACAATATGTAACTTTTCTGCAGTAAAAATGTTTAAAAAACGAACCAACAGAAATCTGTTTTATTCAAGCTGTTTCATTTGTTGGCCAGTAAATGTCATATCCTGTTGCATATGTGGTAATCTACCTGAATCCAGCTTATTCATTTTCCAATACACTTGTAAGTTCTTGGTGGTTTTTAACTATATATATTAACCAGATGAAGGATTTCAGTTATCAGAGAAACTGAGCAAAAGTTGGCAGCTTGGGTCACAGCTCCTCAGAGAGGCCATGCAAGATCTGAACAGCGTCAGAGAAACAAAGACTTTTAAAAGGAAAATACTTTTTCCAGGGTTTTAATCGGTGGGTCTGTTTGTTTTGGCGGAGAAGACCTATGTGGATTAATCAGCTTCCAGTAAAAACCTCATAAACTACTTACTTAGGAATCATACGCAAAGGTGGGTGATGGGTGAAAGACTCCCATGATCCTACACTACTTCACCATGTCACTCAACACTGTCCCTGGTCGTTTTGGCTGAGCTCTGCTGGCTGAAACTGACATATTGTGTGTTTGAATGGACAGATTTGTTGGGAGTTCTGGGCAGTTATTAAAAATGTCATAGAGTAAACAAGGAGTCCTTGGTCCCTTTGTCTTTGGGTCAGTTTGGTTTCTCTTTGAAAAAAAGAAAGTTTCTCCAAGGCTGCAGTAATCGATTTTTAATCAAGTCAAGTGACTGTGTGAGATGTCAAATAATATCTCCATAGTCATGAACCCACAAAGAGTTCTCACCAAACTTCAACAAAGCTATTTAACATTTCAACATTTCACAACTGCCTGTTCAGCACAAAACAGCAACGTTTACAACAAGCTGGTGAACAGAGCGGAGCGTTATCAGCCGAGGAGTAAGAGACTTTCTTTAGGAGCTGGTACGAGCTAAAGCAGACTGAATTTATAGCTTTACACATTCATCACATCGCCAATTCCAAACACCCGCCCCATTCAAATCAGTACGTGTAGACTGGAAGATAAAAAACACAGAACACTGTTCAGCAGGACCCCAACCTGCATCCTCTAACCATGCGGTTGAATCAGCACCTCAATAAAACCTCAATATTATAATCTTGATAAAACCTTATAATGGGATCTATTGATGAGAGTTGCATTAGTTTTAGACCAATGTATCTGATAAAGTAACTGAGTGTACACTGTATATACAGTAGTCTCACAAATTCTTATTGTTTTAGGTTTTTTGTCATGAATCTAAACTCAATAACTCATTTATATATTAGTATTGTTTTATATGAGTAGATAATAGACTGGCACATTTCTATTTTCTTCTCTCGTTCTCTTCTGCTTTCTTGTAACTGTGATGTTAAAACGACTCTTCAGAAAGGTTCCATATGTGAGGAGAGAGGCTTTACATATTTTACAGATAAACAGTGAAACAGTCACCGGTCACCAGTCTGTAGTTTGGACTGAACCAAGCTGTGGCTCTCACCTGTTGAGTCGTCCAGTCTGGTCAGGGAGGAGGACCTCTTCTCGGCCAGTCTCATCCGGACCTGCTCCTGGACCCTCCGGGCTTTAGCCACCGGGTCCGGACACGGGCCGTCCGAGGGAACCATGTAAGTGGTGCAGGAGAAGTTGGGCTGCAGGGCGGACAGAAAGCAGCCCTCCGCCACCGCGACACTCATCCTCACGAGTAAACTTCTGCACCCAGGAGAGGGAAAAACGGAGCTCCTGCAGCGGGAGAGAGAGCTTCGTCCAACAACAGGCTCTGGTGTGTGTATGTGAGTGCGTGTGTGTGAGTGTGTGTCCGCTGTGAAATGGCAGCAGCCCCGCAGTCTGGAGGCAGGAGGCGGGACCTGCGGGACTGAGGAGCAGCCAGAGGCCAGCAGCTGTCTGTCAGTCTGATCACTTCATGTCACTGTTCAACAGCACTGACTTCTACAGACACACTGACGCTGGAACCATCAGGAACACAGGTCAATACACTGTTTGTGTGCAGAGCTTGGGAGTGAAGTTACAAAACTTTGTGTTCATCCTACCTGGTTTATCTGCAATAAAGAAAGACAATGTTTTTCATACAATCAAACTGATTTGCTTCATTACTGTTAACACGTGTGGCTTATATATATGTTTGAATGATTTACTGCTAATATTTGTATATGCCTTACGTTTTGGCTAGTCAGAGGTCTGTTAAACAATTGGCACAATCTTTAGACTCAAGTTCACAACTTTTCAAAAATAAAGGTCTGTAATTCAGTCGATTCATTCATTCTATATTCTATTCTTCATATGAGCTACAAAAACTTTAATTGTTTTACAAAATTTAGATCTAAAGCATTGCATCATAAAGCAAACGTCATACTTTTACTGTGAAGACAAATTGCCAAATAGGAAGCGATTCTGTGACTGTCAATCTATCAAATTTATTTGAATAGCCCATATTGACAAATCACAATTAGTTTATTATGTCGTATGTCGCTGCCATGATGGTAAAATAGTGAAATAAAATGATCAAATAAGCCGGCTGTGATTTTAATGACGCTTTGACCCAGTTACAGGCTGTAGGATATTAAAGACACGTACCACTCCCACTGACTATTAAACACTACACTATATTTTATTAATATGTATTAGCCAAATTACACCAATTTCAACACTACTGTTCCCTAGGCCACTAACAGTACACATGCCAAGAGTGAAGCTGATCAGACTCACAGTTCATGAGATATGTTCCATGTTCCATAGTTCCATTCAACGCCGACTTTTAAATGTTCATTTGGCTCAAACAGTCACTTTGTGGCTGACATGTACTAGAACACTTTAAAGTCACTGTTCGCAACATAGCCTTGTTCTAATCTGTGTTTTTATTTTTTATTTTTCATGTGTCATTGGCAGCATGGTGTTGAAATGGTTAATGATTACAGCAATAAGGTTACTGGTTCAAATCCCGGTTTGTTTCTGTGTGGAGTTTGAGTGTTCTCCCCGTTTCTCCACTTACTCCAGCTACATCCCACAGTCAGAGGACTTGCACAATGGAATAAGGTTGATTCTAGACTCTTAACACTTAACGGTATAGATAACTACATCAGATAGAAGGTATCTGACTATGTGACTAAAATCAGGCCTAACAGAGGCAGACTGAATTCATTAATTCTTTTTCAAAAAAAGGGATCCAAACATATTCACAGTCTCTTTTCTCTTCTTGGCCTTAGACAGAGTTCTGTCTAGCGTAGTTGCTGCTCCTGGTCCTCTGACAGTGCTTCCGAATGCCATTCTCTTAAAAAACAGTCCAGCACTGTTACTGTACAACTCGTCATTTTCTTCAATGAATCATGATGAAGCCTCCAGAGAACAGTTTATGCACTTATCTGAAGAAGAGGAACTGCAGGGAGTCCAGGCAGCAGGCTCACAGATGAATCTGACGTGTAAATGATAACATGAACCATGGCTCACTGTCACATTGCTATATCTGTAGCAATTGAATACAAAGCAGCCATTAATAACATTTATCTCCGATGAGAAACAAACACATCTGCTGTGAAAACAAATTTTGGCTCATGAGAAAGTTTAAGTAGGTGATTAAAAGTCGCTATGAACCAACAGACATAAAAGTCATTAAAGTGTAATCAAATGAAGTATCCATCTGCTCCCATGGAGGTTCATGAATATCTTTCCTACCTTCCCTCAGGTGACTGTGGGGCTGGTACGATGTCCTGAAAGAGCAGAGCGTACAAATATGTGCTGTAGCTGTTAAAGTGACAGTGAATTTCATTATTTGCACTATTTATTATGTATATATCCCACAACTAATTCAAATACAAAGTCAAATATGTGCCACCGCAACAGATGAAAATGGATGATTGTAACTATATTAGATAAGAAATAAAAAGAAGAGGCATTTAAAGTTTTAAAAATCTCATTCCCGAGTGTGACTCAGAGCCTGCAGGGTCACATGAAGAATCAGAGAAACATGTGCGGGAGAGCTGTGTCAGATGTGGACAGTGACTTAGACAAAGATTTTATCAGTGAGCTCTGCCATGAACACTCCCCACCCCTGGCTGTCATGGTGCAGAACGTATACAGAAGTAGAAGAAACATCGTGACTATAAACAATGTAGGGGAAGGTTATTATTACCGTTATGATGCACCTAGTCATTACTGGACTGCATTCGCTCATATTTATCTTTTCATTAAAAGACATCCGAAGTGTGTGTAAAATCATTAAAGTCATTGTGTGACATTGTGTTTCTGACGAGAACAACTCTGACGTAATTGAACTTAATATATAATTCTCAACAGATATGTGACAATGTACCAGTTTATTGTATTTGCAGCACAACAGCACAATATGAGCTGGAATGATGAAGGCCCAAAGATGCTATTTGGGTAACCAGCAAATCTGAGGTCATGTAATATTCCAGGAAAAACTGTCCACACTGCACAGAGTGTGAGGAGCTGGGGTTAACAGGAGCCACAAAGCTCATCTTTGCCCTGGGGCCACCTGGGAAGTTAAGCTTGCCTCCATAAACTCCATGAGTCCAATGGGCTCATTCTGAAGCCTGGTATGCTTGTGATGTGGGGGACATTCCTTTTATTGCAGGAAATTGTCAAATGAAACTTTGCTAAATAGATGAATGTTGTGTTTACTGTACTTGTGAAGACACATTCTAACATCCGTGTGTATCGTATGATGTGCCCCTCCACATACAAACCATGACAGCGACATGGGAAGGAGATTCTCTGCACGTCAGACAGAGGGTGCATGTAGACTGTGAGCCTACGTGCACTCTCTGTCTGACAATGTCCGTGCTGCAGAGACATACACTACGGTTGAAGGGGTGTTTGAAGGGCTAGATGGCCACTACCCCCACATCACATAGTGACCTGGGACAACACTACCCCTTCACTGCAACGTGCACAATGAAGTGGTAGAGCAAAGATGTAGGGCTAAGGGATGGGGACAGGGCAAATGGAAAAAAATGATCTTCAGGTTAACAATAGTTAATAGCATCTGGACATGGTAGTCTACTCCTGGTAATTTAAAAATATTCTGCACAGTGTCAAAAATAAATGAAATTGTATATATTTGTTTAAAAGCATCAAGCAAGTATGACTAAAGGTTGTGTTCAGTGTTACCAAACGTATCCTTTGTTGAAATGATCATTGTCATCCAAAGCTAATGATGAGTGGTGCAAACAGGAAGAATGGAGAGGCCAGGGTGGAGAGTCAGATGGTTCATAGGTTCAGCTCAGCTACAACAACAACAACATGACATCACCTCCAAACCTTCCCAAAGTTCACTGAGCTCAGGCACAAGGTGAACACGAGCTCTTGAGAACTGGAGGTACATTTTCACACAAATATGATAAGTGAAGTTATGTAGTGTGGTTTTTTTCTCGTCTGGCTCCATATCAACTTTTCAAATGACAAAAAATGATAGTAATGAGAGGATTGTGGAATAAGCAGAGTTCTGTTAATGGGCTGGTTGTTTAAGGGCCCAGGAATGTGGAAATAATCTCTTCACCCAAAGCTAACATGAGAAATTCTTTGGGGAGGTCTGGGAAACTAATTGTGAGTGTGAGGAGTCGTAATATGTCAGAGACAGAGAGGCTCAGGGAGGGATTTCTGCAGCCTGTCTCAGAAACAAGAGCAGGAGGCTTTCACTGTAACACACAGAGAAAGCACCGACTCAGTGTGGGTGTAGTGACGGAAACTGGTCGTTTGAGCAACAACACACACACAAATGTAATTTTTTTTTAGATTGCACAGATTGTCTCAAACATCTGTGTTGCGAAACTGACATTATTTTTGTTTTCTTTTTACTGAGTATACATCCTGATGTTTCTCTTGCTGTTTTTAATTTGCAACTTTATTAAAAACTGTTAGTCAATAAAGTGTATTATCATACTGTAAACCTATATTATTTTAAAAAAATGTAAATGTAAAGTACATTCAGCCAAACTGAATCTTAAAGTCAATATCTTGGGTTAATTACAGGCATTTGAGCAGTATTTAAAAAACCAGTAGCCCACAAATTACAACTTCACTGTATGGCTGTGTTCTTATGTTGTTTCATTTTTGTGAGCCCAACAAGATTTCCTGAGAAAACAGTTTAAACCATAAACCAAATGCAGTGATATCTATTCTGTGTCCTCTCTGTCAATGTAAGTAAAAGGTACATAAATAAATCAAACTTTCCCCTTGTGTATAACTCATGTACAACAAAATCTCAACTTTTCAAATTTGCGAATTCAGTCGACTTCAGTTGATGAAACTGAAAAAAAGTTTGATTACCATTGTGTTGCTTAGCAGCAAATGTTGGTTACATTTTTATTTTGCAACCAAGTATTTAGAAAAATGTATTAATTAAAATGAGTTCACAAAATGTTGATGTTAGTTTGTCATAAATCTGAGAGTAAAATATTCTTATTTAAAACTGGCAGTTGCAGACTTCCATAAAATTGTACTCAACTCCTCAAAGCTGAAAGTCAAAGATTTAAATCTTCATTTTCAGACTCCTCAGTCGATTAAAATTCTTCAAGTCGAGCATCTGTTTGTTGTCAGCATTTTACATCTGGAGCTGCAGAGTGACTGTGCCTCACTTTTATGCTGCTCTGAGTTCAAATCCCTTCACTATGTCAAGTGGTCCATGTTGTAAGGTGAGACAGGTCAGACAGCTGCGGACCTGGATCCAGGGACACAGTTCAAATCTGCTGTTAGTGTAGTTAGCATGTAGTAGCTCTGAGGGAACACTTGGTTTGTTAAACTGAAGAACATTCAAAAACGTGTCAGTTCAATAAAGTGTTACTTGAATAAAAGGATC